CGCCCCATCGCGCCGTGCCGCTGGAGAAGTCTATCCGAGGCGATTCGTGAAGGACGCCGCGCGACGCCACGCCCCTCCGTGAGGCGTTTGGGGGAGGGGAGAGGGGGGGGGGTGGCAGACGGAGACAGGGACTGCGCACCAGAAACTTGCGCTCCCAGCGATCGAGCTGCATGCCGTCTCTATGAAACCTATTCGCTATCGAGGACACATTAAAGATCGGAGCTTGTCAAATCTATAAAATCAGTAAAGATGGGAAAAGTTTTCTAACTTTTGTAATTATTATGGTATGTTTTCAAAAGCAGCGTTCCTTGTCTTGTTTTGTTGCAGTTGCCGCGCCCCACAACGCCACCGGGGAACCATGGTGGACTGGCGGACCGGCCGTCTCCTACACCCGGGGTGAGTGCCGCCGCGTGGCGCTTCTGGTGTTCCACTGGTGACGCAGGTCTGTGAATGCCACGCACTTGTAGGTGGGTGGCTGCCCATTCTTACACTCACGGGAGTAAAGCTGTGACTTCTCCTTCGAAAGATCGCACACTATGTGCCTCCATGTGTACGAATAACGTTCACAAACCTACAAGTGTGCGACATTCAGGCACTTGGGTTTCCGGTGCACCCACGGCATCATCAGCTCGAACGCACTTTTGAGTTTCCAACACAAAAAGAGCAAACAAAATTAAAGTTTAATTTTTCCCGCCCTGTCAGGCGCGGCCCGCCCCATGTACACCGGGCGATCCTACGACTACCACACTCTCGCCAGGCACCCGCCCAACCTGCCCGACCAGCTGGCGACGTAAGTATACAGCCACGGAGTAAAAGTACTTCTACTCCGCGAGTACAGCAAACTCGGAATGAAAATGGTGCATGTGCGTCGAAAGATTATGTATGTTGTTACGCCTGCGAATGTAAATTTTGCGGCGTCCAGCCATATAAACCGAGCCGTATGTCCGCCACCTCTCGCCCCCGCCACAGCACCACTCCCGCCCGCAGGAGGAGCTTGGACGAGCAAGAAAACAACCAAAGATGAGTGGCCTTCGCCTTCATCTACCCCCCACGGTGCGGTCAGCTCGTCTCCCCAGTCCCTCCTGCAGACCATAATACCGCGCCGGACATTTTTAGACTACTTTATTTTCAGGAGAAATCCTCTTGTGGGCTTATTTTTGTCCATGCGCCTCATCGTTCTCTCCTTTCTAAGTTATATCCAGTTAAGAGATATAGCCGAGTCGCGTCGGGTGCGCCTCGCGCCCTTGGTTCCCTATACCTATAGCTGAGCGCGGCCGGACGATCGGGACCGGAGCACGGCGCGCCCGAAGCGCGGTTTCCTCTTAACTGGATACAAACACTAGTATAAGAAGTAATGTTGTGTAACGTCGGTACCACCGCCTGTCCTCATCCCTCCAGGGGCCTGACGGTGCTCCGCCACGGCGGCAAGTCGCCCGGGTCGCTGCCGCACCTTCCCCGCGGCCAGGGCATGCCGCCGCACTCGGTCAACTACGACGAGCTGGACGCGCGCCAGTACATGGGGCAGTTGCCCAACCAGCCTTGCCCGGCGTGCCCGCGCGGCCGCATCCTCTGCCCCGTCACCTGCGAGTGCATCCCGGAGAAGCTGCGCTGCGACAACGCCAAGGACTGCGTCATGGGCGAGGACGAGATGGACTGCGACGGCGAGTGCAAGTCCCCCGGGACCGTGTCGTGCCCGACCACCAAGCGGTGCATCGCCTCGCACTGGATGTGCGACGGCGTCGACGACTGCGGCGACAACTCGGACGAGCTGCAGTGCGGTGAGTGTCCCGCCGTACCTTAACATAACGTAACATAACCTTAAAAAAATATTTA